TAAAACTGTGTCTATCATAGCTTGCCACAGAACTAGTTAAGGCTTGCTTAACATTTAACGGTTTAAAAGTAGGTAAAAAATATGAAATAAATAGGGGAACCTCACTCTAATATAATAAGATGATCCAACGGTGTAATTGTGAAAATATGCATTTTTGTGCCCTCAACAAAAAAACAAGCTATTGTAGAAAATCCTACAAGTAGTGGTAGTTACCATCATCTTCTTTGGCCTCCACGTGTCCCTGTTCCTAGCAGCGAGGCAACCGAGTGCGCTGGGTAGCGAACGTGGGCAGAACCTCTAACCCGCTAGCAGCTTTAGGCAATTAGGCGGTGGAAAAAATAATATTTTTTTTTGAATAATGAAATCCCTGGTTTATAGGTGGGATAGTACGTCCAAGTTTTCAACTGTTTCTTTTATTCTTGGCTGAATGGATAAGGACGTGGGCGTGACTCTATTGGTTGGCACCGGATAAGGAAGTATGGTTACCTTTTTTTAATCCAACAGTACATATTTTGTAATCCACGTATATAGGTTAACAGTTCTAGCACTTGCATTCGTTGTATTTCATGCTAATATACATTCAAGTAGTTCTCCAGTTTTTCTTTATTAAATTAGAATATATGTGAAGGCTATGCGCATCTAGACGTTAGCCTGCATATCCAGGCCGTTCAAAAAAAAGTAGTATGTGCACCCAAAAAATGAAGTATATGGTATGAAGTATTTTTTTGTTGCGAGTATGAAGTATTCACTTTTTCTATAAAAAGTACGGAATATATAGTCAGAAGTATATAGTTTTTCCAAAAGAGAGTATGGAGTTTATAGTGTGAAACTATGTACTATATGATATGTAGTACACTTTTTTCCGGCAAAAAAGCATGTATATCATATAGTACATAGTTTGAAGTATATTACTATTGGAGTATGTAGTTCAGAGAATAGTATATGTATGTTATTTGAAAATAGTGTATTCACGAGTATGGAGTATGCATATATCTCTCGCTTGGTTAAGGTGCATGTTGTATACTTCTTAATTGTAGTACTAGTATGGAGTATGGAGTATCCCAAAAAAGGTGTATGAAGAATGGAGTATGTCGAAATAAGGAGTATATTGTCCAAAATAAGGAGTTGAGTATGTAGTATGGAGTATCTCCAAAAAGGTGTATGAAGAATGGAGTATGTCCGAATAATAAGTATCTTCCCACAAAAAAATTAGTTATACTCCAAGATAAGAGGAGTATTTCCAGAAAAAGGAATCATACATCTTCATACTGATCGAATATACTATAGTATGCATGTGTTTGTTCTATTCCTTTTTCACCTAAAGGTATGAGATTGTAAAATAAAAAATCTGTTGCCATACTACATCTTCAAACAACTGTATGTACTGGGTAGAACATGACTGAGCTAGATGAGAGAATACGGGAACATAACTCTAACAGATAGTTTTTTGGACTGGTGGTGATGCATGCACATATACGTATACTGATCTATAATTTGAGAACCGAATTGGGATTCACTATACTGTTGGAACGTAATAATAGCTGGGTCGGGCACGTTCCAGATCATATTGGATTGATATAGCATCCAGTGATGAGATCTTCAAGGACGGCGGCGGGGAAGCGCGCAAGTCAATGGCAGCTGGTTGAGCGTGGCGTACGTTTAGTCTTATTGTACCACACACCATCGGACGAAGCCGTTGAGCAAACAGGAGCGGGCAGCTGTGTCGTCGTCGGTGACGGCTACATGCTGGTGACGCCATGACGCGAGGGATCTTCCTCTGGTTGTGCACCTGGCGGCTTGCGGCTGCCTTCTCGTCGCTCCTCGTCGTCACATCATCTGGATCTTCATAATCATGCTGTTGCACTCATGCAAGAACTGCAGCAGGGGTTGACGCCTGCGAAGGCAGTCGGTCATAGGTGCATCTTTGCTATGCTGTTGGTCAACAATGAATTCATATTAGATAAGAAAACAAATCAGGAAGAGTATAAAAGATTTTGTTTGCCGGATGAATACGCAACATGCATCCATGATCCTAATCCCAATCGGCTGCAATTGCTGGCAGTCGCCGTTATTTCACTGTGTCGCCGGTGGCAGAAGAATACTCTCGACGACGCCGAACCGCCGTCTCCAGCCGGTGATGGAAGTGTCGCCTAGGCAGAACGCTAGATAGAGAAAAAATATGTTTGCTCTTGGTAACAAGAATATACAAACAATTCTATTTTTACGTAGAGAAAAATGCTAGGTTGGTTAGTAGGTGGATAAGGATGCCAGACGAATAAATAGGAGTGCATTCAAACTTTTGGATAGGCTCACGACCAAAACGGACCTGTTAACCACCAAATAAACTAATGAAAATAATTAATATCAATTCTAAACGGGTCGGTTGGAACCTCATCTAGGCACGTCAAATCAACGGTGGATTCTTAGGTGGTAACTATCACTAGGTGGTAGAATCTATTTTTCCTATATATATATATATATATATATATATATATATATATTTGATGATATATATATTTTGAATTCATAGCAGGAAGACCTTCAGGATAAGATCAATTATGGATACATTTGAACTAGTTTCAATTTCGCTGATCTCAAAAAACATATTTCACTCAAATTGAAAAAAAAAACATATTTCACCCATCTCCAAAAATCATTCCATCGATTCAAAGTAACAATTGACTCAATTAAAAAATATGATCTCACTCATTCCAAATGACATATTTCATGCATTTTTAAAATATATTTCATACATATTTTAAAGCTTATTTCATTGCTTTAAAATACCGATTACTTGTTTCATATAATCAATTTCACTTGCTTTAAAACACACACATGTTTATAGACTTATTTCACTCATTTAAGATTATAATTTCACTCATTTAAAAATATAACTTCACTTGAAAACTAACTTCACTCGCTTCATTCATTTAAGAATATAATTTCACTCATTCCAAAAACTGGTTTTAATCATTAAGAGACTGATTTCACCGACTTTGCAAGAAAAATTATTTCAATCATTTGAAAAAATTGATTTCGATCATTTCAAAAACTGATTTAAATTATTCCAAGAAAGCACTTGCTTCATTAAACAGATTTCACTCATTATAATTTCTTTTACACAATCAAAATTTCGTGTGTTTGAAATAACTAGTTTAAAAATTCTAAATAACAAGGTTCACATATTTCACACCGAAATATGTGTCATGTGTATCAAAAAGCAGATTTCACTTATTTCACTTGTGAAACGGCGGATGTCTTACTTATCAAACGAGTGATATACGTGAACCTAGTTTCAAAAAATCTGTTTAATTTATTTCAGAGAACTGATTTGACTTATTTGAAAAAAAATCTTTTCAAAAACAATTTCAGTAGTTCCAAACAAGACTTCACTCCCTTTAAAAAATAAACTGAGACAATTAGCTTCACGTTTTTTAAATAACTACTCCCTCCGTCCCATAATGTAAGACGTTTTTTGACACTACACTAGTGCTAAAAAACGTCTTACATTATGGGACAGAGGGAGTAGTTATTTATTTTTGAAATAACAAGTTTCACATGTTTCACACTGAAAAATGTTTCATATGCACGAGTTGTTTTTACAGAAAAGTGATTTCAATCATATTAGTAATCGATTTCAATAATCTTGAATATGTAAATTTCAAATGAGTGAAATTAAAATGGTGATTTCAATAGTCTTGAATATGTATTTTTTTTAAAAAAAAAATGTTAGGATAGCAAAAGGAGGGGAAAGAATTGGGCTATCGGCACTGATCCAATCGGACGGCCCAGATTTCCCAGCGTAGCGTCAACGGAAACCCCACCATAAGTAAGGCCCCGGCGAAGCCCACATCCCCTGGCCTAAACCCTAGCCCTCTTCCCCGCCTCCGCCTCCGCCCCCCAAACCCCTCGGCCGCCGCCGGCGAAGCGCGCGGGCGAGATGGCGCTCTACCTGCTCTTCGAGTCGGCGTCGGGGTACGCGCTCTTCCACGCCCATGGCATCGACGAGATCGGGCAGAGCGTGGACGCCGTCCGCTCCACCGTGCTGGACCTCAAGCGCTTCAGCAAGGCCGTCAAGCTCGCCGGCTTCACCCCCTTCCTCTCCGCCGTCGACGCCCTCAACCAGTGCAACGCCATCTCCGAAGGTACCGTGCCCCCCCTCCCCTCCCTCCCTCTCCCGGTGGAGTCCTCGTGTCAAGTCCCCTGCTTTATGACCCCCGTGACGAGCGAATGCTCCTTTGGTGGCCCAGGGATCATGACCGACGAGCTGAGGACCTTCCTGGAGCTCAACCTGCCCAAGGTCAAGGAGGGGAAGAAGGCCAAGTTCAGGGTCGGCGTCATGGAGCCCAAGGTCGGGTCCCACATCACCGAGGCCACCGGAATCCCCTGCGAGTCCAACGACTATGTCCAGGAACTGCTCCGTGCCGTGCGGCTGCACTTTGATCAGTTCATTGACCAACTCAAGGTGATGGATTTTTTCATTCCCGTCTAGTTTCCATGTTTTAATTACATTGTTCTGCAAAGATTGAACTGTCAGTAAAGCTGTGTAGTAGGATAAATTAAATCACATTGTGGTCTGACTTGGGTTGTGGCTGGCGTATTTGATTTTAGAGGATTGTGCAGCAGTGGGAAAAGTTTAATGTTTTGGTGGTATGAACTACTCCCTCCGTCCCAAAATAAGTGTCTCAACTTTGTACTAACTTAAGTACAAAGTTATACTAGAGTTGAGACACTCATTTTGGGACAGAGGGAGTATGATTTTGCATCAAGTCGGTGCAGAGAGTTGGACAATTACCACCCTATGCTTGACACATCATTTTTAGTAATTAAGTTTACCTAGATCATACAGTGAATTGCCTGCAGTTTCACAAATTGGTTGTTGACATGTTGATCGTTCTCCAAGGGTTTTATTCCATCACTGCTCTTATTCCATATATACTTGTTTGTAAACTTTGTTCTGTTTGTTTTTTATTATTGCAGCCATCTGACCTGGAGAAGGCTCAGTTAGGTCTGGGGCATAGCTATAGCAGGGCAAAGGTCAAGTTCAATGTGAATCGTGTGGATAACATGGTGATTCAAGCCATCTTTCTGTTGGATACACTTGATAAGGATGTCAATTCCTTCTCCATGAGAGTGAGGTTGGTTCCTCATCTTATTCTTAATTTGCTTAATTTATTAACCAGTATCTGGTTCTTTGGTTTGGCTGTCGCGATGAGACTTGTATTATCTCAAAAAGAAAAGTTGATGGCGACATAGAAGTCCTGAGAAAGTTCTAGGTATAGGCACTAGAGTTGACATTTGTTCATTACTTTTCCAGTTTAGCTGTCGGTATATACTGGTTATGCCACCATTTTCTGATTGCAGGAGTTAAAAGAAACAGCTGAAATTTGATTAATATCGTTTGTATGCCTCTTCTTTCGTAACCAGTTTTTATTTTACATCAGTGGCATCAATCATATTTTGTCTATATGCTATATTTCAAACCCTAAGCCCAAGTCTCTGGTTTTACCATGTGCATTCAGTTTACATCTTCCTGTGTTTATGTTAGTTGCATGTCCAGTCACGTCACTGTCTGTCTTACAGTGACATACGTGCTGTGTACACTGTACTATCTTACAGTATATCACATGGTAGTGAAAGATCATTTTAACTTATCATATCACATGGTAGTGAAAGATCATTTTAACTTATCATATCACATGGTAGTGAAAGATCATTTTAACTTATCAACTGTGCAATATATCCTATACCATGTATGCTTTCTTTTCTTTGCGGGGAACACTATATTCTTTCGGTGGGTGTAATGACATTTTTTCTTTTTCTTTTTACCCTTGTTGACGCTGTATCTAGTTTTGAATATTTGTCACTGTAGTTGTGTTAGTTGCATGGGTGTATTAATTGTTGCTTAACCATGATGCAGGGAGTGGTATGGATGGCATTTTCCTGAGCTGGTCAAAATTGTGAATGACAACTACCTTTATGCTAAGCTTGCCAAGTTTGTAGTAAACAAATCTGATTTGTCTGAGAAAGACATTCCAGCTTTAGCAGATCTGATTGGAGATGAGGACAAGGCAAAAGAAATTGTTGAAGCAGCAAAGGCATCTATGGGTAACAACCATGTCCACAATTCATATGCTTCTCAGTAGTTGCCACGGTTGCTTAGTTTACGTGATCTTCTTTTTATATTCAGGCCAGGACCTTTCACCAGTTGATTTGATCAATGTCCAACAGTTTGCTCAAAGGGTCATGAATCTATCTGAGTACCGTAAAAATCTCTACGAATATCTGGTGACAAAGATGAATGATATTGCACCAAATCTGACGTCATTGATTGGTGAAATGGTTGGAGCTCGGTTAATCTCTCATGCTGGCAGTCTTTCAAATCTTGCAAAATGTCCTGCCTCCACTCTCCAGATACTAGGTGCTGAGAAGGCGCTCTTCAGGTAATTGTGACTGACCGGACTGCTTATGCAATTCCCACACCCTATTTGCAAGCTGTGCTTTCTTATTTGTAGTTGCCCTTCTACTCAAATACTAACTGTTTTGTCAAGTATTCAGACTTTGTCCTCTGTGCTTCTGAAATGCTGTGATTGATTTCCTAATTTTACTGCAGAGCTCTTAAAACGCGTGGAAACACACCGAAGTATGGCCTCATATTCCACTCATCTTTTATTGGTCGTGCATCGACCAAGAACAAGGGAAGAATGGCTAGATACCTGGCAAACAAATGCTCAATTGCTTCACGCATTGACTGTTATTCAGGTTAGTTGAAGGGCTTTGTTTGCAAAGGTTAAAACATCCTGACTGCCTTTTTCTGTTTGTTTTCCTCACTGGGTTATGAATTCCAGATATGAGTAGCTCGATTTTCGGTGAGAAACTGCGTGAACAAGTGGAGGAGAGATTAGACTTTTATGACAAGGGTGTTGCACCACGCAAGAACCTTGATGTAATGAAAGCTGCAATTGAGGAGGGTATGACCAACGCAGTCTCAGAGGGTAAGGGTACTTCTCTTTATATATATGTTGGTCTCTGATGAATCACTTAATTTCAAGTCTTTCTGTACATGTGTATATTTACACCTTGCCCTGAACAATTCTTTTCGCAGACAAGGAGAAGGAGAACGGTGACACGACTGCCAAGAAAAGTAAGAAAAAGAAGTCCAAATCTGAGGCTGATGGTGACGCCATGGATCTTGATAAGCCTGCCAACACGGCCGCAGCAGAGGAAGGGACAGAGAAGAAGAAAAAGAAAAAGAAGCACAAGCTAGAGAAGCCCCAGGATCAAGAGATGGCGGCAGCCAATGTCGACGGCGAGCAAGACGGGACTCCCAAGAAAAAGAAAAAGAAGAACCGTGACGCTGCAGAGTCTGTCGAGCCTAAGACGGCCACAGAAGGGAAGAAGAAGAAAAAGAAGTCGAAAACCGAGGCCGATGACTAGACTAGAAGCTCTTTGTTCTGCTTGATGAAATTAGAACATCTAGTATACTGTATAATTTATGTACAAGCATGGATCTAATCGGGTGTCGACTATTGATGAATCTTTCATCATCCTATGGTGGTGCTGATGACATTTTGAGGTCTATAACGTGGAAGAGCATGGATTGAGGTGGCTGTTCAACTATTTGCTGTTTCTTGATTAGCACTTGGGATGTTTTGATTGGATGTGCGTTGTTGAGGGTGTTTTATTGCTTGGTTATGTCAAATCTTATTTCCAAGTTATTTTCCTCTGCAAATGCACACATTTTGAGGCTTCTATAATTTAGAAGAAGATGAATCGAATTGCGGAGCCTGTTGAGCACTAGAGTCTGCTTTTCATTTTTTGAACAAGATGTATTAATGTTAAGTTGGCATTACTGTTGCCTTGAGCTACATACACTTGCTAACATAGATCCTGGCATCCTGCCTCACGTGGTTACTCATGATTGTGCATGTGATTTCTGAAAACATACTGTCATAATGTGAATGCTAATGGCACTGGAGTTACAAAATCGCCTCAGTTGCAGACTTGGTGATTTTGCTCCTCCTGTTTTTCGTCTGGACTGAGCTGAAATGCTGGGTTGCTGGTGTAGTGAAATGCTGTGGTCGCTCCTTCTGCCTTTTCTCCATTCCTTGTTGACACCGTCTTGGCTCTTCCTACTCTTGGTCCATCCCTTCCTTGAGGAGTGAAAGTGAAACACTCTGCTTGCTCTTGCTGCGCTCACTCGCTTCCTCCACGACCTGCTCCACCTCGTGAACCACCATGAGCGAGCCTCCTGAACCATGCCGCGACGGCTCTTGGCCGATCACGACGCCGCTCTCTTGGAGCTCCGCCAGGAACTCCATCCAGCCTGCTGGCATTCTCATACGCGCTGAGTATCCCATCGGAGAGGCGGTACGCGTTCACCGTACCCCGTCGAAAACTCGTTGCGCCCCCTCTGAATCGCCTTTGTACGAGTAGGCTCTGAGCAGAGCCTTGCAGACTTGTTTTCCCGCCAAGACCTGCTGTTGATCCTCCGTCTGTTTGATCACATCTTGTGCTTGCTCTAACATATATATCTGCTCTGCCTCTGATGTAGGCCTTGCTGTACATGTCCACCAGTGCAGCGCATTCAGCACGACCTGATCACATGACATGAATGCTTCCTCGGTCGGCTTCCCGCAACAGATTTTGCTTGCCGTAGATTTGTATCAGTTTGGGCACATTCGCTTCGAAAGAATCCTCCAGCAGTGCATACTCTAGTGCCTAGCCGCCAACACACAGTCCATTCGTAAGGGATAAAATTAATGGCAACAGTCACCATTGATGCAATTCAGAAGTTGAGCCATTTCAATCTAGTTCAATGTTCAGTAAAGAGTTGAGATCAGAAATTCACAAATTATAAATATGAAACTCGGTAAACAAGATGCGAGTCAAGTAAGAACAGTAAACAATTTTTCTGAGCAGCCCAGGCCCAGCTTCGGAAAAAACAAGAAGCACGAGTTGTAGGAAATTACACCCGATTGCCCTCCCCAAGTGCAACCTCCAACCGTTTTGCCTGGCCCCAACAGAGCGAGCCTCTCCTCTCGCAACCCCTGCCGACGCCGCCGCCCCGTCTCATCTCCGCCTCACCCCGCAGGACTCCGTCCATCACCACCCGCAGTCGCCGTGCACTCAAATCCCCGCATCTGCGGCCGCTGCCGTTGGTCGCCGCCGGCAGCCGGACGACCTGCTCCGTCCACTCTCCAGCAATATCCACTCCAGAGCCTTCCCCCAGCTCAAGGTGAGCAGCCTCCTCCCCCTACTGTACCGCTTGGATTCGGTTAGGTTCAGCAGTGTGGCCAGATGCAAGATAGAATTTCTTGTGCGTTGCCAGTTCAGTCAGAAGTTCATCATACCTTTCGCTACAAGTTTATCAATGTTATGGTTTGGCGTCTGTATTTATGAACTGAGGTGTGGCCAGCCGGCCTCGATGTTTGATCTGCGCAGTCTCCGTCAGCCCGCCGGCCGCCACCCATGGCAGAGACCACCGAGAACGAGTGCCACACCGATGAAGAGGAAGACCTGGTCGGAGAGGAGGAAGGAGGCACCGGGATCCAAGGCGAGGAGGGTGGAGGCACCGGGGAGAAGAGGAAGCGGCCTCTGAACAAGAACGAGAAGAGTCTGTGCGGCTTCAGCAAGCGCGGGGTGTGCTACCTCAGCCACGTCCCTCCCCACATGAACCCGTCGCACGTCCGCCAGATCTTCTCCAAGCACGGCGAGGTGCAGAGGATCTACCTCGTCCCCGAAGGTGATCAATCCCCTGTCATGAACTGACTGAATTGGCGGCTGCGTTTTTTTGTTTAATTTGTGATGATACGGTGCCAAAGCTAAGCAGCGTTCATTTGAGGAACACAAATAAGCTGAAAGCCCTACTTTTTTTTTCCGTGCGAATATGCAGAGGGCAATGCGGTGATGTTAGCTAGCCTAGAAAAAACAAAGAGAACAAACCGTATTTATCTCATGTTCAAGTCTCCCTTGGATGATCAAGGGAGATGCGTGTAATCAATCCCGTGCAGAGTTTCTGCTGCAAATAACATGCCTCAACATGTGTAGCAAGGCTGTATTTCGGTAGCGGAAGGCTGTTCATGGAGTTCTAGGTTTGTTTGTCTTGCTTGTATTTGTGAAAGCATTCTTCATTTCTTCTAGGGGAAGGGGAAAATTCAAATAGAACATGGCAACAAATGATAATCATGTTCTGCATGCTGATTACACATGTTGCTGCGGCAGTATACCGTGCAGCGACAGTGAGTTGTTTTTCCTGTCCCTCGTGGTTGTACATCTTAGAATGTGAAGTGCTATACTGCTCTTTATAATGCTTACATATTTGTAAATGAAAAGAACCCAACTTCTTGACTGTTATGTACTAATGTCATCTCTTTCCTCCAGGTCAAGGTCATCGCAAGCATAGTAACGTAAAAGCGAAGGCTTATTCCGAAGGGTATGTTATGAAAATACACAGATGAGCTGATTTGGAGAGACTTGCTAGATCCCATTTTTCGGTTTTATGCTGAAAGTCAAACATGGAGCAATACTTACAATTGTCTACTTATTGCATTTCTGGAGTAGTCATGTAAAGATATGGTAGATGATGTGTAGTATTTCACAATTTTGACATATTTTTATTGTTGTATTTGTTAATTGTATGGCCTTAGTAATGTTCCCAAAATCTTTGTAGGTGGGTTGAGTTTGCAAAGAAAAGTGTCGCCAAGAGGGTGGCTAATCTGCTTAATGGTGAACAAATAGGTGTGTTCTCGGCTCTATGTTTCATGTGTTTTATTCTTTCTATGTCACCGTTGGTTTACATTAGATATACTGAACATGGATGATCTGTTTTTCCTTTTTATTGCTCAACCCTCAACAAACCCCTCAATTTTTTGGCCTCAAAAGGGTTGCTTTTGTCGGCTCTGTCATGTTTGAAGAGCTATACAATGTGTGCTAGAGAGAGAGCTCAATTATTCTTGTCTGACAATTATTGATGACCAGCTGTGTTAATGATGTATTTTATTAGGTGGGAAGAAGAGGTCGTCATTTTATTATGACATCTGGAACATAAAGTATCTCAGGAAGTTCAAATGGGATGATCTGGTTGGTGAAATAGGTATGCCTAAAGTACAAAACTGTAAAGTAGCTATAAACTTGCCAGTAATGTGAACTGATTTGTACGTAGGCTAATCCTTGGGGTTTAATGCAGCTGAGAAGACTCATATCAGGGAACAGAAATTAACATTGGAGATAACAGCTGCGAAGAAACAACGTGATCATTATCTCTCTAATGCTGTAAAGTCTCGTACACAGAAATTTATTCGCGAGCGCATAAAAAAGGTATGCTCTACTGTTTAACATACTTCTGCTAGCATAATTCACGCTGGGGATTTTCTTTGTGTCCTGTGTCTTTATTTATGATTACCAGACACTTGATGACACATGGTTTGGTTATAGTAGGAAAAACATTTCAGTTACAAGCTAGCCCGAACACTGGATATTTTCTCCCTTGTTTTGCCGTTCACTGCAAGTTTCATTACTAAAATCTCTTATGTACGTTGGGGACATCCTTGAAACAGAAGCAAAAGAACGAAGGAAAAGAATCCAATGATGTCGGTGAGACGAATAATGACTGTCCAATTCCTCGACAGAATAGAGCAGTTGAGGAGAGAGGCCCTAGTAAAAAGGCAAAGCTCTCAAAAAATATTCTGGCCGGAGTAAGTAGTGAGCAGCCCTCTGGCAGTTTATCTGGTGGTGCTTTTATGTTAGCCAGCTAGTCATTTGACCTGCTTTCATCGCACTTGCAGGTATTCGGTGGTTCATCATGATCGATTTTGATTCCTGGTGGACTGGAGCATTGCAAACTGAATGTTCTAGCACAGGATCATTGCTGTCTTCACCATCTGCTCCGCCTTTGTAGATTAGGCTGTCGTTTTTTTTGTAATGGAGGGTGAATGGTTTGGTCGTTTGGTGACTGCGGATTGCCAAATATGCATTGCTTCTGCTGTAATACTGGGATGGATGTACACTGTTGTTAATTTTAAACAGTGAAGTAATATTACCCTGTATTGGCCATATGACTGTTCGTTCTGTTGTGATTCTCATGGCATGTTACAGTTTTTATTTTTATTTCTATCTTAAACGAGGTAAGACTGTAATCCATCTAAGAAGGTTCTCAATTTCCAGATCGTGCTTGTTTGGAACATAAGAATTTTCACAGTAATTCTTCATTTTTTGCAGGAAAGATTGCCAAATAATGGAGAAATAGACGCCCTGCATAAAACAGAGATCTAAATATATACACCGTGGCCGACCTGGGTTTTTTATGTACGTCGATGGTGGACTGGCTGTTCTTTAGTGTGTTTGATTGACTACTTTGGAGAGTTTATTGGGAGCCATCCAACAAGGATGTGAGGGGCTTTGCAGGCGTCCGGACGGCAACCACCCCGGATGCATATTAGGTTGAATAAACTAGTTGGCCAAGTTATGGGAGCAACATATGAAGTAAAATGGGAGCAGGTACTCTTTTAAAACGCCCGGGAGGCCGCGACACACCTTCAATTGTCATTGGAGTCATATATTATTATGCTTGCAGCATGCTCGTAGCTTTCAGAACCGAAAGAAGGGCACTCGGAAAGTGCGAAAGGCCAGAGCTGGTGACGGAGAATAAAATGGGAGCAGGGAATAAAATGGGAGCAGGTAACCTCAAACACCGTTTCATCAACATTCCTGATTCTTTTTAACGTGCTAACAGCAGGTCAATCACAATGAGGATAGTTGTCGAGTTCTTTTGACTCCTAGTACATGGTATGCAAGCGGAAGGGATATCTATGTACTCGCAAATTCTCGAGCTCTCGGGTGCTGAAGCTTCAATGGCTAATACAAACAGGGTGTTTCTATTTACTGACTGTCAGCTAGCCTATTACAAACTGCCGAGAGATATCTCTCCTTTGCTCACTGTTCAACAGCCTTGGTCTATTCCCTCTATGACAGTATGTTTATTGGCCGAGTAACTTTACAACATGAGTGGGCTGTCAGTTGTGTATATTTTGTTGGTGCTGCTCAGGCTACTTGCACATATTATATGGTTACGGTTCAGCTTTTCAGAGAGTCCAGCTCGGCTCAACCTAATTATGCTGGATCAGATCTGGGGATATCTTGATTGACCTGCTGCTTTGGAGAGCTCTGCGTCGCATTTGCAACAGCACAGCACTAGCTCTCCAGCCTGCGTCTCCGGAAGCCTTGCATCCGCCTTCCTCACCGCGCTGCTCCGACAACTCTGCTTCCGAGCTCCACATCATCCGTGTAAGCTTCTAGATCATACCTCGGATGTTTTCACTTGTTAGTTAGTTTTCTGCTCTATTTTCCTCTAGATATACTTTTGCCGGCACAAAAGAAGAATGAAAGGAAATCTGTCTTTTTCGCTGTGATCCTTTTCTCCCTTTCAATGGTTTGCTTATTTATCTCGTCGTTCCAATTTCTACAGGTTTTTCATCCACTGCTGCCTTCACCACCTGTTTGTCCCTCCAGAAGCACTCCT